CTGATTGCTTTGGGGTTTATTAACTTTTTTGTTACTTAAAATTTTTATATGTCTCTTACCTATTTGGTTAAAGTCTTAAATTTGATTTTTGCAGTGTAAGCAAAAGTGACAATGATATGTAAATTGTTACTTAACGCTTTTTCATAACTCGTTTTGTTATTTCTCTCTTTAGCAGGTAAATTGCTTTTATTTGTTCCAATTTTAAATTAGACTTCTTTGTGCATCCGAACATAAATAAATAGGAAAAATATAGTAGATATTATTGGTGCATTCGAATAAATAATAGGAGAAATATAGATATTATTATATATCAGATGGGCTTCGTGGGCCCAAAGTGGGCCAGTCCAAGAGAAGAAGAAAAAAAAGCCGTGGCTTGTAAGAGGAATTGGAAGGTGTGGTGTGGGGTCTCTCTCGCATACCAACTGATCCAGTCCTTAACCACTACTCATTGTAATATTGACATGCGCTTTTGTACAATTGTGCCACGTGTCGTATCCACAGACTGCCAGCTAAGCAGCATATGCAAATTTCCTTTTTGTTTTTGTTTTTAAGCATTACGACAAAAGTAGCAAAATGAAAGTTGCGGTGGGGCTAAATAGAAAATTGATAGAAATAATTATTCTAACGTTGTGATTGACTCATATATAGCCAGCCACTCCCCGATCTGTTCTTAGTCTTTTTTGCCCTTTTTTTTGTTTTGTTATATATATTTTTGATATATTACAAAATTGACTCATGTATATGTTCGTTCTAGTTCTATTGAATATGAATAGTGTACACTACAACACAGGATTTAAAACTATATACAAGGAAACATAACGTTAACATATTGACATATTTCTTTTGGAATCTCATAGTACACCATTCGATAAGAGAAGCAGCTTCTAAACGTCTACTTTGGTATAAATTAATGATATCACTGGTAAATAAAACACGTAACGTTAATTCAAATACAGACGAAGTTGACGGAAACAAAGGAAGCCTTAGTCGGTAAAAAGGTGGTTAAATTCATGGAAAATGTTGAAAAGTTTGAGTGATAAAGCTTAGGGATTGCGTGTGAATTTGAAACAAACTTTTCACGACCTTAATCATTATGATTAATCTTAAGACCAAAACCTAAAAGTAATATACTATTCTAATAGTTAAATATTAAAACACCCATAAGAAGCATCACTAATTGCTTCCATTTTAAGTCGAATATCGCAATCATGTGATTAGGCGGAGGCAGCATGTTGGCATGGTGGTCAATTGACCCACATGAATTTTTTTAAAACCATGTAAATTATATTAAGGGTTTTAAGTTGACCCTTATCCAAAACAATTATTGACCCCGGTAAATTGTTTTTCTGGTTTCCGCCAGTGATTACATTTACTATTTTTGTCGCACTCGCCGACCGAAATCATCTCATTCTCACCGTAGTCACAACATCAAACTCTGTTTTGTAGGAGCTGATTGTGAATGAATTGCATGCGTAAACATAATAATTACCAAAATACATACGCTAAACATCAGTCAAAGGTCAAACCGTACCATTTTTTGTTCCTTTTTCCTGTGAAAATCTGAGTTCTCTAGAATAAATCATTCGATGTGGTTTACATCAAAATACAAAAGCCGCTACAAATTCTCAAGGGTTTAGCTTAAACAAATGTTTAACAAAAAAAAAAATTTTAGCCTCATTGTGTGAAGAAAGAAACAAACACTGTTAAAATGAAACCACATCGAAAATTCTGAGTCAAAGTAGTCATTTAAGACTTCCGCGGCCTTCCTCTTCTTCCACCGGTCTTTACCGCCGGAGCCTTTCCGTTACTTGTACGGCCGCCACGTCCTCCACGACCTCCACGGCCACGTCCTCTGCCACGAGTGCTCTGTTTCTTGCCATTGGCTTCTTCTCCATCTTCACTGTAGTCACTGTCCGCGTCACTGCCTTGAGCTTCCTTCTCCTTGTCGCTGTTTTCGTCATCACTCTCTTCTTCAGATTCAGACGAAGCTTTTGCTTTCCTCTTTTTGGGAGCTCCTCTTTTAGGAGCAGCTTGTTGTTTTGTTACAGGCACAGTTTCTTCCTCGACTTCTACACTCTCTGATCAAAACAAAGAAAAACACATCAAGAGATGTTCACACATTAATTAAAACTCTCTGGGGGATAAGTATTGATGTGATTATACCTTCTAATGATCCTTTTCCGTCGTAGATCTCGAGCTGCAGAAAGAGTAAACTGCGTAAGATAACAGCCGAAGAAATACAAAACTTTGCGAAAAATATATTGTCTTGAGCTTTTTCCATAGAGGGCCCAATGAATAGAAATGGCTCTCTTGCTTTTGTTTACCTGCTCAAGCCGATCAGCGATATCTGTTCTGTCAACTATGACCATAGAATGGCAAAATCCGCATGCCACACTGCAGAAAACATACACAAGGAGTTTAGAAAAAGTTTCAATTTTATCTCTGAGGTCAAAAACCAAAAAACTCACCCCATTACATGCATTCCCTCGAGTATATCGACCTTTTTAGGCGCTGCAGAGGATCTGAAACGAGAAAGAAGCAGGGTTTACAATGATAGTCGAATGTGGTTTTAAAACTAAAAGTTAATTATGGTGTAGCATACTTTTGACCGTTTGGGCCATAACCAAGTTCTCCATACTGAGCATGACCCCAACTTATGCAAGAACTATCCGCACCAACAAAATGGTGCATGCTTCCTGAATCCATCCAACGTAAGTTCCAACCACTGCATAAGGATTTATTTATAAATGTTAAATTAACCATCAAAAGCAGTATAACAATCTGTGAAATCTGACTTAAGACAAACCTTAAATCCATCATAGGTTTAGGGTACATCCAATCATCACCATTGTTCTTTATCTTTCCCCACATATACAACTGTCCTCCACCTGAAAAACAGACATGTTAAATTTAAATTTTAAATACAGAAATAAACAACTAGCAGAAGAGGTAAAAGGCAGTTTAAATTAACGTCACTTGCCAGCGGTACAAGCAGAGTTTGCATTGCCAGCAGTAACAATGGCATTAGGAGGCAAAACATTATTCCTCTGAAACACATCAACACGGCGAGGAGCCCACTCATCTTTCTGCTCCCTATGTCCAAGCCTGTAATTGACAACCAGAATCTCATGCCAGTCTTTTGAAAACGCTTTAGTGTAAAACTCAGAAATGGGCTAGAACAAACCTTCCATAACCACCATAGCCCCATCTGCAATGTGTTTCAAGATTAAAAATCAATGAATCAGACATGTATATTGAAGGGTCAGATGTTTAAAGTAAACAAAAATCAAAACAGAACAGTTACTTACGTGTAAACAAACCCATTCTTATCTACCGCCACTGGTTAAGAGAAATTAACATATGAAATCAGAATGAGTATTAGCTTCCTTGTAAAGCAAAGGTTGAGGGCATAGAGAGAACAAAAGAAATATGGTTTCTACCAGTATGATTAGTTCCACATGCAACTTTAACAATTGTTTCCCCCGAAAGAGAGGCTATGGCTTTGGGACGTGGCTGTGCTTCGTAGGCGAGTCTAACTGAGCTATCCTTCATATTGAACTGAAATGGTACAAAAACAATGTAACCTGGTTTAAAGAAAATGATGGAGACATCTTAGTGTAACCTATTCATCTAGACATCTTAGTGTAATCTATTCACAGTAAATTTCCTTAACATGAGAAGATACAAGAGCACAAACACTTTTTTGGAAGATTCAGAATAATCACAAACAATTCACGTCCCAAACACTTTCAAACATATAAAAATATGCTAAGAGCAAGACACAAGAGTAAAAAAAAAAGCAGATTAAAATGTGAGCAGATAGCTAGCTTTGAATAAGTTACCTCATTATCAGTTCCATGACCAAGTTGACCATACTGTGGGAGACCAGCAGTCCTATAAACAAACAAACACTCTGAAACTGAGCATGCAGTCTAACCAAAATGAGACCCACTAAAGTCGAAGGAAAAACCAAAACAAGAAACCATACAGTATAGAGGCTCCTTCAGCAGAAGATAACCAGACAGTGAAGTCAGCCCCACAGGCAATGTTTGTGACCTCCTCAGACACAAGACAGGGAAGAGGCGACGATTCAACTTCTACAAAAACAAAGACTGTAAGCTACAGATTTCATACCATTAGAACGGTAAGACACAAGCAGAAATAGATCATACCGTTTTTGGTTGAACCCAAACCCAACTGCCCATGCTTATTCCAGCCAAAAGCAAGGGACTGGCCCTCATCACTCACCACTACCGTGTGGTTCCTCCCTGCTCCAGCTTTCACAATTTTGTACCTTTTGATAGAAACAGGACAAGAAGAAGAAAAAAAGCTCAATGCCCAACAACAATCAGAATCAATCTCATTCAAAGCCTTACAAACTAGCAAGGAAACAGAAACTCACTTTGAGAGTCCTGACACAACCGTTGGCCTGTCACGTTGAATCGTATCTCCATGACCTAATTGACCTTTCTGAACACAAAACCAAAAGTTTCCAGAAACCAAATCATTCAGTTCCAATCCAAAGATATGCTTATATACCAGTAAGACTGTGCAAAACAAAGTAAAACAGAACATACGTCATTGCGTCCCCAAGTATAGCAACGACCTTCAACATCCAATGCCACACAATGACAGGAAGCTACAAAGACAAATTACACAGAGAGAGATTCAGTAAAAGGAGTGTTCGATTCCTCCATTAATCACAGATCCAGAAAATGAAAAGTTATTACCGCAACCAGAAGCGACGAATCGAATGTTGACGCCGACGAGTGGCCTTAAACGAGTAGGAGAAACCAAGTTACCATCGATCCCACCTTTACGTCGTCCAATGATATCCCAAGCCGTAGCACCACAGAACAACAACTCACCTCCTTTCTCCTCTGAGCTCTCTTCCTTCTTCTCCGACGACGAATTCATCGCTGCCATAACTAACTTCTCCGTCCTTCGCGTTGGGTCAAATCGAAAAATCAAAAAAGGCTTGATTTTTCAAAACTGAAATCGGATCCGCGGCGAATCGGAGTTGATGATTGAAAGTGGCGGGAAAACAACGGCTAGTGGTATTGACTGGTGGGATCTGAGCGACGACAAAGAGGAAAGGGGGAGAAAAATGGAAGACAAATTGAGGAACCCTAACACAAGAAACAAAGTACAGAGGAAAACTACGAAAGAAGCAAAAAGGGGAAGATAAAGTGGGGCAAATTATAAAGGGAATTGATTAATTTGGGGGATTTTCAATTACCCATTAAAATATCGTTATTTAATTCGTTATATTTTCTTCTTCGGCTTCGCTTTTGTGTAACGTTTGTCTCTCTTACTTATTTTTGGTCACTGTCTTTTTTGTTTTTTGTTTTTGGTGAAAATATCTTTCTCGCTATCTTATCAATATATATAATTAAAACAAATCGTTATATTTTCAAATACCATTACCATTTTTATGAATATTTAAATGTGAATATCTAACCGATTACCAATACAGACGTTAGTGAATATCTAACCGATCCCCAATATTTTCTTTGCTTTAATAATTCAAAACAATACCCCTCATCTTCATTTTGTCGACTAACCTTTTTCCCGGTATGTAACAATGTATAATGTATTCTCACGATTAAAATTAAACTTTGTTTTTCTGGATTTCTTTTGTTAAAACTCTGATCTGTGTGATTCGTTGGTTTAATATCCAGTTTACAGTTTTTAACCAAAACCAGACCCATGTCTTGAGGAGGTCGTGAACGCAATGCACTTTGCTTCAGAATTAGAATGGACATAAGCATAAAGCATGCTACTGTTACGTTTCTATCTACTCATATAATTAACATGTTTTTATCATTCGTTCCACTTTACATTACATAAAACCAAATTCTTATATTCATATCACGGTAATTGTGTTAGCTTAATTTTGTTTTTGCAATATTTTCAATGTTTTCAAAAATATATATAATCCGTATTGCAAATAATTTGTCATAGTTTTAAGAACAAATGTAGCCATGCTTATTTATTGTTTTAGATAATGATGTAAACCCATTCACGTTAAGGATAATGTAATAAAATCCAATGAAAAAAAAAAGAAGAAGAAGATCAAATTAGTAAAATAATTAAAATCCACCAGTGGATTCAAAAGAAAAGCTTCCAAATTCCAAACCATTTTTGTCATAGTTTTATGAACAAATATAGCCATACTTATTAATTAGTCTAGGAAAACTATGTAATCAAATCACTGTGGCGGTCGAATCTCACAATTAGAATCTAAGTGATTTTTTAGGGTTTGTAAAGTTMTGTSGAAARCAAGCAAACACAAAGATCTCAAGAGAGTTTTTATTAGCTGTGAAGAAAGCTGTTACAAGAGTTTTTTTGCTAATGAATTCCGATCCCCTTTGGGTGATAATAAGGGACTATATATAGTACTTCTAAGTAAATGGGTCAGCTAATAAAATAGACCTGGCCCATTAAGCAATATATCTAATTTAGGCCCATTATTCAATTAAGCTCATTTTGCTTATGGATTTAATATCATTTTGGGCCTAGATTCAGACTGGGCCTTGGTAGACTTGCTTTGATTTCGTCAAGACATTGTGGAGTTGATCTCATCGCCATATCGATCTCATAGGGGTGAAATCCGACCCCCACAGTTAGCCCCCCAACTTGGCTGTATCGAGTTAAGATGATGCCGAGGTAAAAGTTGCAGAAATCTGAGATCGATATGATGGACGGTGAAGTTGCCAGGCGTGGACGTCTTGTCATCAAACTCCGGAAGTTTCTGTTATTCCGCGTTGAGCCGATGTCAGCGTGTTTTCCTGGGCTTGTAATCTTTTTTTTTTTGTTTTTCTTGGAAGACTGATAGAGTTGATGATCTTGATGCGTTAGTGGGCCTTGAGGGCTGCTGCAGAATTTCAGGAATTTTTCCCAAAAACAAAGTGATTTTAGGAAATCCTTCAAGTATAAATAAGTCTGCTTTTTCAGAGTTATTTTCTACCAATTCGCTTTTTCCATAAGCAAAAGGTAAAAAATCCTCTCTCTCTTTCTATCGCCTTATTTTATTGTTATTTTTTTTGTAGGTTTTTTTTTCTTGTTCGCCGCCGCCGGTTCGTGACAAGAGGAGAAGCTACTCGTCGGTTCGAGATGCTCGCGTGTTGTCGTTGGTTCGAGATGCTCGCGTGTTGTCGTCGGTTCGAGCCGTTGGTTCRAGAYGGTCCAGCGAYGCGATCGRGATCCGTGGTCTTCAACGGAGGTTTCRTGGTGGATCTACGCCGAGGAGAAGAGAGAGAGAGCGGCGACGAGGTGGGGACGAGCCGAGACGATGGCACGGAGAGATCCGGTGGAAGAAACGGCATTTTTTTCAAACTTTGCGAGTTGACTCACTAGTCAACTTACTGGGTTGACTCGGACGAGTTGACTCAGTGAGTTGACTCAGTGAGTTGACTCGCCCGAGTTGACTCACTGAGTTAACTCGGTTTTTTTTTTCGGCGACTCAGCGGCTTGACGGCTTAGTAAAAAGGCTGGCTTTGTGGAGCGACACTGACTTCGATCGTTGCTTATTGGTGCAGCGGAGAGGAGAATTGAGTTGCTTGTTCGTTGCTTAGGAGTTACTTCGTTGAATTCGTCACTAGAGATGTCAGACAATGCGAGGAAACCATCTGCTCGTGAGAGGAGAGCTGCCGAGACCAGGACAGATTTGAACACGAGAGTATCTCAACAAGCTAGACCGTTGACGTCAGTCCCCAGAGCTGGCACTACTGGAACCCTTGCTCCTAGGCCGCGTCATCCTGAGTTAGAGCGAAATATTGTTGTCATCACCGATCGTCGATCTGAATCATCGCATAGGCGTCACGACGWCATGAGGGGAARKGATGATCACTCAGGAGCAAATCGTATGCGTTCGCGAGAAGAGAAGRAGAAAGGCAGTGTTGGCAAAGAGGACTTGAACAGATCGAGGCACGCTTCAGCTCCTCGAATTGATCGTGTGGTGACGACTTCCACTATTCCTTTTGGTACGAAGGAGTCCTTTGGTGAT